TTCTTTTTTTAATAAATACGTGATCCAAAACCCTGTGTTTTTTTTGTGTATAATGTTGTTATGTTAAATATTGTTTACGCAATTGTCTTGTCACAAGCGGCCCAAGCTCACGTCTCGAGAAAAAAAAGCCAACGATTAATTTATGAACGCGTCACGCGTTGTGTGACTCGGTGTTAAGTTACGAGAGGAACTGCACGTTATAAGGAATAGTACAGGGAACGAAGTATGGTCGATTTACAACGATACATATTTCGAAATATGAACATTTTTCTCGTAAAGTCAATAAAAATTACTCATACCCTGTGTATCCGTCGTATTTTCTGGCGATTTCTGCCGTTTTAAGCTTGCTTTACCATCACTGTTGTTCACATCATCTACTTTTATTACGCTGATAAAATCTGTACAGACATCACACCAACCAACTCGCGCGCAAAGTAATAAGACTATATTGAAGGCTTGAAATAATATTGCGATCGATTTTCATCAAGAAATGGGCCAGGAATATTCCTCAATAGTGCAAATAATCGTGAAGGCGGATCGCAGAAAAGCGATTGCGTGACGCTCGGTAAGCTGTAAGATGACATGTTATTATATACCAGACGTAAAAACTCTTCAGATTCTTAGTCTGCATTTTGTACCCACTCTGCAGTCTGCAGTCTATATTTTATATCCGGTCTGCAGTCTGCATTTTGTACTAACAGGTATCTGTGACACCAATACAGTTTATTTTTGGTTACATTTATTCGCAAAACACACGTAATCTACCACAAAATACCTGTGAGTGAGGTAATTTGACATTTTCGTTCTTTCCCACATTAATATTCTTCTCTCCTTTTGTAAGAATGTAGACATCACTCACAATGTTTCAAGTAATCCACCCACCCTACAAAAAAGTAACTCTTGCATGCATACCATGCCTATGTTTTGAAATACGTCTATACCCTTGGCCAGACTTGAGCGCACTATTTCAGTATACTAGTCCGACACCCGTAGTATCACTACACTTGATTCCAAGGATCCAGTACCATCCAGGTATCCCAGTTACCCTGCTCACAGGGTCTAGTTTTTTTTTTTTTTTTCCTCCGCCACAAAATGGAAAAATTGCGCAATAGTACCCAGTGGTCATTGGGCCCTCAATACCATGACAACTGACTGTGATCCAATGAGGTGTTCACATGCTGATCACGCGTGTTATCCCTCAACACCATGACAACTAACTGTGATCCAATGAAGGTGTTCACATGCTGATCACGCGTGTTATCTTGATTATGATTGACGTTGTCATGCAAGGACAGGGCCGGGTCACATGACGAATCACGAGATTTTGCTTATAAAACTCTTTGGTCGGTTATTTTGTAATTCAATGTATTTGGATTGCGGTCTCCTGGAGCATTAAGGCGCAAACGCGCAAAATACTTACAAACGCATATACAAGTCGTATTAATCGCGGCTAATCCACACTGAAAGATGTTATTGAGCGGTAATTTTGGAACGGATTGAGTCGCGAACGCTTGAAAGCCATGAAAGCCTTGAATGCCTTGTATGCTAAGTATGCCAATGTCTTAGTTGAAAAACGTTCACTTGTTGTAAAAAGCAAAATCTGAAATCTGAAACCAAACTGCATATACTCTATGCAATCTATTGAACAACACTACTACCGTGAGACTGAAGAACATAACTATAATAGATGCAAACTGCTTGTGAAGAAAGACGACATGTTGGATTCACTTGATGGCAAGGAACGTAGCTACGATAACAGTACGAATGGTATTAATTTCACGATCAGAAAGGTGAATATTATGTTTGTTTTCATTGTAGTTGTATGGATATTCTTTTTTAATAAATATGTGACCCAAAACCCTGTGTTTTTTTGTGTATAATGTTATTATGTTAAATATTGTTTACGCAATTGTCTTGTCACAGGCCGCCCAAGCTCACGTCTCGAGAAAAAGCCAACGATTAATTCATGAACGCGTCACGCGTTGTGTGATTCGGTGTTAAGTTACGAGAGGAACTGCACGTTATAAGGAATAGTATAGGGAACGAAGTATGGTCGATTTACAACGATACATTTTTCGAAATATGAACATTTTCCTCGTAAAATCAATAAAACTTACTCATACCCTGTGTATCCGTTGCTTAGGGTTAGGGTTAGGGTTAGGGTTAGGGTTAGGGTTTTCTAGCGATTTCTGCCGTTTTAAGCTTGCTTAACCATCACTGTTATTCACGTCATCTACTTTTATTACGTTGGTAAAATCTGTACAGACATCACGCCAACCAACTCGCGTGCAAAGTAAGAAGACTATATTGAAGGCTTGAAATAATATTGCGATCGATTTTCATCAAGAAATGGGCCAGGAATATTCCACAATAGTGCAAATAATCGTGAAGGCGGATCGCAGAAAAGCGATTGCGTGACGCTCGGTAAGCTGTAAGATGACATGTTATTATATACCAGACGTAAAAACTCTTCAGATTCTTAGTCTGCATTTTGTACCCACTCTGCAGTCTACAGTCTATATTTTGTATCCGGTCTGCAGTCTGCAGTCTGCATTTTGTGCTAACAGGTATCCGTGGCACCAATACAGTTTATTTTTGGTTACATTTATTTGCAAAACACACATAATCTACCACAAAATACCTGTGAGTGAGGTAATTCGACATTTTCGTTCTTTCCCACATTAATATTCTTCTCTCCTTTTGTAAGAATGTAGACATCACTCACAATGTTTCAAGTAATCCACCCACCCTACAAAAAAGTAACTCTTGCATGCATAGCTTGCCTATGTTTTGAAATAAGTGTATGCCCTTGGCCAGACTTGAGCGCACTATTTCAGTATACTAGTCCGACACCCGTAGTATCACTACACTTTATTCCAAGGATCCAGTACCATCCAGGTATCCCAGTTACCCTGCTCACAGGGTCTAGTTAACCATAATTGAGTGCATGCCCAATGTGCCGCCAGTGTACTCATAGCCCGCCGGGACGAAGAAGAATAGATCTGTTTCCTTAGTATGGTTATTAAAAAAAAAAAAAAACCCTCAAATTTCTGAGCTTAAAAAGGTTTAGTGTGGACAAGGCCTTACAATTTCAAGGCATTTCGAACAGTTAACGAGCAGGAGAAAGGATCAAGGAAGCTTTAAGTTGATTAGATTAGCACTCACGGGAAAATGTCACATTCTTAATTGATTTGAAGGTGTGAAAACCTCAGACGGAAATATCGTTGTTTGCGACTTTCTCTTCGCCGCTCTTAATTGCGCTCTAAATTTATTACAAGAGAGGCAATGATGAGAAGACACGAGTTCATGATTCATCGGTCTGTCGGCTTTGAAAATAGTTGGTCTTTGAGCTAACTCACATCTCATTTGCGTCCGTTAAATTCTTCATACGCCAGATGCCTCCAAAAGATAAGGGGAATGGGAGTATTGGAAGTATGGTGCATCAAAATAATACAATCAGGAGCTGCGTATCTTTACAGAACAGGAACAAGAGTTTACTATTTCTCCAAAAATAATCGGTGCGGACTTTTTGCATAAGTCATCACATTCCTTTGCTGGACCCTGTGGAGAATCACTTTCTGAGAGGAAACTTAAGGTATGAATAAACTGGTGCATCACTAAGGGTTTATACGTGACACGTGATGAAGGCCAAAGTTATAATGCGACGCGTGAATTTTACTGAAAGGTTAACGTTATTCGTGAATTTACGAAATTGTATGAGGCCTGAAGTATACTTGAACCTGAATTTTTTTTTTTTTTTTTCATAGCGTGAAAACCTCAAGATTTCCCTGAAACCATGAACATAAGAGGAGAGATTATAAATTTTCTCTTTTATGTCCGTGAAGCGTGAACTGAAGTTTTGAAAATTCGTCTTAGGCCTGCAATATCTTACTGGTCCTCTCTCAGGACAAATTAGTTCCAACGAATTCAATGAAGGGATGCGTTTCAATTTGCTTCAGTAAACTCACGGTTATACGAAATGTTCAGTACAGCTAAACTTCAGTAAAACATTATCTGCGCAAAAGCCAAGCTAGCCTAGTTACACCAAGACCTGTTCAAATCATAGTCAAGATAGTGTTGATGAATTCATACATCCTGTTTTGAAATGTCCATGTGATGTAACTTCACTTTCTTTTAATTTTTCAGATCCATACATACAGAAGGAGGCCTTACAAACCCCCGTAATTGTACACTGGTCTGTTTCAAGGCAAATGACACCTAGACATCTATGTGTTAGCAGTGAAAGACTTATTTTCTTGGACACTATTGGATCAACAGTACTGCATCGCCTTGTGAACAGAAGGAAGAGGAGTCAAAAATCTAAATCTTGTATCGTCAGTTGAAATGAAAATTACTGAACGGGTAACTTCGAGGAAAAACATTTATCTCATATGAATTAATGACGATATCGTCACTCAGTGATGGTGATGTAAATTCGGCTTTAAGTGTCCTCATTCCAAGGTCATCTAATTTTAAATTTCTTTAAAAATGAACAGATCATCTGCAACAGATAAGCTCTCCTTATGCCAAGGCAGGATTACTTCCATCTTTTCTTTGATTAAACGAAATTTTAAAAAATTTGAAAACAAACTTTTAAAGGAATCTTAAATGTGTTAGGAGCTCGTCCTGAATGTGTACAAAAATTCAATTACACGATTTTTTTTTCTTGCGGGGAAGAGAAAATTAATTTCCTTTCAACAACTTACCTTTTGGCATTTGATTAAAAGTCTGCATGATTTATGAATAGTTCTGTTTAATAGCCTTAGTTTCCAACCGTGGAGTTATTTTCACAAGTTTATCCTATCATTCAAAAACCATCAGCATGCACAGTATTGTTATTTCAACTATGATCACTGAAAAATAAAAAAAGTATTATAGAAAACTGATCGAAACTGTTGGTGTGCGTGGGCCCTCTACAATTTGTCTTTTTTTGAGAACGGAAAAGCAACAACTCAGAATTTCTACAGCATTGACCTTGCAACACATAAAATTTCTTTAACTCAGGATGTTATTGCTTGCAGAATTTCTGCTGCAGCGGACGTCATACCGTGCAGAATTTCTGCGGCCCTGGACGTTAAGGCGTGCAGAATTCCTGCAGCACTGGACGTCGAGGCGTGCAGAATTTCTGCAGCACTGGACGTCAAGGCGTGCAGAATTTCTGCAGCACTTGCGTCAAGGCGTGCAAAATTTCTGCAGCACTGGACGTCAAGGCGTGCAGAATTTCTGCAGCACTGGACGTCAAGGCGTGCAGAATTTCTGCAGCACTTGCGTCAAGGCGTGCAGAATTTCTGCAGCACTGGACGTCAAGCCTTGCAGAATTTCTGCATCATTGGACGCCATACCATGCAGAATTTCTGCAGCACTGGACGTCAAGCCTTGCAGAATTTCTGCATCATTGGACGCCATACCATGCAGAATTTCTGCAGCACTGGACGTCAAGCCTTGCAGAATTTCTGCATCATTGGACGCCATACCATGCAGAATTTCTGCAGCACTGGACGTCAAGCCTTGCAGAATTTCTGCATCATTGGACGCCATACCATGCAGGATTTCTGCAGCACTGGACGTCAAGCCTTGCAGAATTTCTGCATCATTGGACGCCATACCATGCAGAATTTCTGTAGCACTGGACGTCAAGCCTTGCAGAATTTCTGCATCATTGGACGCCATACCATGCAGAATTTAAGCAGCACTGGACGTCGAGGCGTGCAGAACTTTTGCACGCTTGGGCCGTCAAACTTTGCAGAACTTCTGCATTACAGTTCTTGATACCATGTCAAATAAAAATGAAAAAAAAACCGCTTAAACATATTAAAGGTTAAAATCAAAGACTTTATCGTTCCATTCTTAAAAGTGCAGAGCATTATGTGTACTTTGACCAGATTTAACAAGCAACGCAGTAAAAAAATGAATATTTGTATGAGTAAAATGTACCTACGTTTAACTTTCCGTTGAATTATACAAAATGTTGCTCTTTTGAAGCAACACATTTTCTTAATCCGTGAAAACTGTAGCATTTTGCTTTTATCAAATAGGCGAAATTTCCGTGTTTTTTGCCTAAATAGTGCTGCTTTCAAGCCAACATTTAACTCTTTCTGGAAAAAAGCTCGATATTTTGCGGAATTGATATGAAAAATATGTCTAGAAGGTCCATTTTTCACGGAAAATGCTATTTTGGAAAACACAAAATAGTTTGGAAAGCGTTCTTAGTTCTAAGTCAAGTCATTTCAAGTTGGCTTCAGGGTGGCCAGATACGCAAGGGCTGTTAAAAGAGTCGTGAGGCAGTACCCTTCTTCTCCCATCAGATACCTGAACAAGAACCACATCGGTAAAATGGTTAACCACAAAAGGTTCAAATTCAAATTTTCATCGCTTTTACCCCATGGATTTAGGTGTTACTTAGTACCTTGTTCCTAGGGCTGAACTCTCCCGGTAAACTCTTCGGTAAAGTCCCTCGCGTGAGTTTAAAAAAAAAAAAAGTGAAAAAAATTTGATGTTTGCGTGTTAAGAGGAGCTCTAGGAGCGAGGCCTTAAGGAAAGTGGCAACTACAGACTTTGTCAGAGAGTTTGACCTTGCTCAGCTGAGTGATTTTCATGTGTGCGCCTCCCTCCCGGAATTCCTCACGGCGCACGAGGATGGAAATTTCTTTTTTACTAATTTTTTTTTACTTGCACGACGGACTTTGCCGAAAAGAGGGAACTGCTCATTGCCTATCGGCTAGCTCTGAGGCACTGAAGCCCCACGGTATCAACAAGCGCTTTTCATTCAGCTAATGTATTTTTGTTTTCTCGTCACCATATTCCCACCAATAGCGTAGCTCCACTTTATGCATATAGACCCACACAGAACCCATTATTCCTCCGATCGCTATGACGAAGGGCTAACGCTCGAAACGTTAGCCCTTAAACTCTTTACAGTAACCAGTTTACGTATTCAAGTCAGTTGATAACACCAAATTACCAAACACTCTCCCACCGACGCAGCACCACAGTTTCTAGGCAATTAACGAGTTGATTGGGTAGATTTAGCAGAAAGGCGACGGCAACACCGTCTTTCTTTTGTATTTAAATTTTTGCTTTGCTTTCCACCCTATCGTAATCATCATTACGTAACATGCAAATGAAAAATGTGAGGAAAATACTTTTTGCACTTGTAGGGAAACGGGAATAATTTATGTCGGTCATCAATTGTTTTCGTTATTGTTTTCCAACTTTTTGACGCGCATTTTCATCTTCGTGAATATATATCATTAGTGTTGATGCAATCTTGACTGTTCTCAAACTGATTGCTGATACATGTTGGATCGTAAAACCGCGTTCTAAAGATATGCGAAATCACGCGGGATAAATCAATGATACATAGGTGACATAGTTTGCTAAGTTGAAACAAAAACAAGGGTGATACGGGTGAAGAAAAACAACTACAACTGAGCACACCTTCTGAAATGGATAACCCTTCCACTACCAAGATCCTATCACAGATACTCCTTGATGTTTGCCATAAAATTCTTATGATTTTCGTTTGGAGAATTTATTATTGGATCAACTCATAATTCCCTTATTGGTATTAGTATTTATTCGCATTATTTTTCATATTGGAAAGAGAAATTCTGTCTTGGTCACTCATGGGAGTTGAGAGTTAATTCTCACAGCGTTAAAAGAGGCTCTACCCACATATGCAAGAAAACGGCAGTGACACGAGTTCTCCATGACTTCATGGTTTAGCCCGAAAAGATCAGTGGAATCACATGACATGTAGGACATAGAGAAGAACTGGAATGGGGAAAATTAATACTTTAAAAGTGGACAACATGTTACCATTATCAGTATCTGTTTTATCATTTGTTTAATTTATATCGTTAAGACCCATTTCGGGTTTATGCAAATCAAGTCGAATTTGGTGACAAAACAACAAGACAAATTGATTTTTTTAAATTTCCGAACGTGCTGATATTTTTGCTATTCCTCTCCAGTCGGGGTAAATTTTCCAGGTAAACATATTAACGCGGTGTCAATAAAAAGCAAGGGCGTTTCTTGATAGTAGCAATGCATGAAAAAAGAAATATAACGTTATGCATTTTGACCGTTGTATAATTCAAATAGATTAACACGCCGCTCACGTAGTATTTTCCCTTTATTTTATTTTAAATTATGTTCTACAATCGTTTTTATAATCCACAGTGATAAATTATGAAACTTGCGCTAAGACTTGCTTTGAGAATAAGTGAACTTAATGACTTACAAACGAACTTGGCCTCGATGGTGCAACAAAACATTAGAATTACCGAAAACTTAGCGTATAATTCATATCGAAACCATTTGATGTTCCATTTTCTAGTTCTTTGACGCCGTAATCCAATGATTGCTTAATTTTGATGATGAGAATCGAATTCATATAATCCTGGTCGTGGCAGTATTTGTTTTATTTTACCTATGAAATAATAATAATTCACAAACGCATCAGTGCCTTAGCAATTATTTGCATTGAGATCGATTGTTTGAGGCAAATCCTTCATTTTGTTAATGAACATACAATCCTATTGGTCGATCTCAAATGAACAATATTGATTTTATTGCATAATATCTTTTGATCCGTTGACGTGTGAGATAATCTCGACTCAAAGTCACTTAGTTCCGACATTTTGTTTCATAGACTACCATATTTGAGGAAAACGCTGAAAACAGTATTGATTAAGGAAGAAATGAGGCAAAAATATTGAAAAGTAAAAACACACAATAATTGATTTCCCTCTTCTTCAAAATGGTTCATCCTTTTCCTTAGTCGACTAATCATATTTGTTAACCCCCTAAAACTGAATGACTCATTGAGAAAAAAGAGTTAATCTCGATCAGATTTGAATGCTTATGAGAACATCTAATTTCAAAGAGAACATCACGTAGTTACAGTCAAAGCTTAGAGTAGAATCATGCCTTGGTAAGGCCAAAGTACATCATCCAAGATTCCTTGATTTTTTCCACTTCAGACCGGCCTTTTTCTTCGTTCTCCCAAGAATAATATTTCCTTATGTCTGTGCCTTTAGAAGGATCGAACTTTTCATCATTCATAATTTTCTTCGTCAGCTCGTCAGGTGAGAAAAAGTCTGGAAGTATTTTGGAACCTTTGCGACGAAATACCTTTTAGAGTAGAAATACGTTTACTGCGGCTGCTGTAAGATGAAACCAGAGGGACATAGGAGATCTTTTGTGTCGCGGACGATTCCATGTCTTCTTTTCTCGATGTATGGCGTTGTGCTCTCTCTGGACCTCTACGCCACTCAAAAGATGTGTGTGAAAGAATTGCACTGAGGTAATGTGCAAAACTCTAGAGCCTTTGTGGCACGAACGAAGGCGATGCTCTTGAGACTCTTGACCACGAACTTGTTATATCTGTTCTCTGATCTGATTGCTGTGAGTAGATTTACTGTGATTTGATCCCATTGGTTGAAACTGAGAAAACTCCGATGTAAATAAGCACAACTTTACATATTTCGTGCCGTTTTGACGATCAGCCAGACGGCTAAAGAAAATGAAATTGACAGAGGGTGCCACCTTGATAGCTTTACCATTTGGAAAAAAAGGCAAAATGCAGTGCTTAAAAACTGCTGTACATATTTTTTAATTATTCTCTTCGAACTTGAACTGGCGAGAAAATAAACCGTAGTTTTTCAACTAGAACAGCTATTTCTTAGACATTTTTTGAGAATTTTTCTGGGCAGCCTTTAAAAATGTTTTTTGACTTTGTTGTGATAATCTCCTGTCTGATTTTGGTGTTATATAGTCGTTCAGTTCTCCATCATTATCACTCACGGCATGTATAAAGTCTGAAGAATCATGTTAAGCTGCAGAAAAGAACTAATGTGTTTTTCTGTTGAATTGACTCGCTTCTCAGTCAACCTCAAATGGAATTTGAAGTGTAAGTTTTGGTGGAAAGCGGAGCAAGGAATACTCGGAGAAAATCCTCAGACTAACAAATGCAACAAACTTAAATTACATGTCAGATGAGGAAATTGAACCCTGGCCACAGCGGTGGGAAGAGAGCTCACTCGGTCACTGCGCCATCCCTTCTCACGTACATCACTGCATGTTCTCGTTTTCTATTCCTCACTTTACTGACATGTCTATTCCAGTAATTAGTCACATACTATTAAAATCTGATTAGCCCCTCTCATCATCTTCTTAAAATATAGTCTAGGTAGGAAGTTACGTTCAATGAGAGCAATACATGACGATAAAGACGAGTCGCCAGACTAGCTCAGTCGGTAGAGCATCAGACTTTAAATCTGAGAGTCATGGGTTCAAGTCCTATACCGGGCGATAACACTGGTAATGGTATGTTTCAGTTTGTTAAAGAGATTTATTTACTATCTTTTACTTTAGATAGCTCACTCTATTAAATGGAACTATAGCGAACTTCAAAAATCTTTGGAATATTTTCTGCCTTTCTTGATATTGTCATGTGGCCATCACCGATTTACGGTTTTTTACGGCTTAACCCTCAATTCAGTCTTAAGCCCACCATAACGTGCAATCTCATGATACCTTCCTGTTGATCGCGTGCTCTCATGAAACGGCAGAAGTTTGGGTAGTGTGAACAAGTCGCATGTTTACACCATGCTCTTTAGATCTCTCCAGCAAAGATCTCACAACCAAGCCTGATTTAAACTAATGCGTTTAGTCAAGTTGTGGAGGAAAAAAAAAAAGGTTGTGCGCCGCCCGATAAGGGACTTGAACCCATGACCCTCAGATTAAAAGTCTGATGCTCTACCGACTAAGCTAACCGGGCTGATCTTAACCCCAAGTATTGCGTTAGATTTTCCTCGGAAAGACTATACCCAGTCTAATATGAATTTTAAAAAGTGACCATGAAAAACTTTTGGTGGTGAGCACAGAGCTTTTAGTACTAAAACTGCTGTTGAATGGAATCTTTCTACTCCCTTCTCGTTGCACAACCGTGCAGCGATGTGTGAGCTGCGGAATTAGTCAGTTTGGCAGATTTCTGAATTGAGGATCGACTCATTTATCATGTTTGTCTAACACGACTGTGAAAAGTGAAAAGCAAGAACAAGTAATTGTCAAAGGCAGTAAATTCCAATGCTTAAAACCTATCAATCTCGCATAAGGGATTTTTCGGCTTACATCGTTTGCTATGTTCATATCCCGTATGCGATCTGTTGTAAATGTTGGTGGATGAAGAAGAGAGTCTTATTTCACCACAGGTACATTCGTGATAAATTGAAATGATAAGGAAATAGATAGGTGAATAAGATATAATATCATGGGGAAACTGTAACTGTTAGTCAATCATCGTAGGTAGTATCATGCAGTTTAATCCGTGGTAAATGCCAAATCATGAAGCCACATGCTTACCATTTCGTTCAACCGCCTCGTTAGCGCAGTAGGCAGCGCGTCAGTCTCATAATCTAATTAGATATCTGAAGGTCGTGAGTTCGATCCTCACACGAGGCATTCATTTTTAAGTACCTACTCTAAAAAATTTTTACGGGAGGCAGCGTGGCTTTGATAGAAAAAAATACAACCTCTTTACTTGTCTGGCTAGCAAGGACCAAAATGATTATTATTAAATTTAGTCTCTATTAAAGTATTTTTGACCTCAACATCTCTTACCATAAACTTTTCTTACTAAATCAAATTAAAATGTTTAACCATTGACCCTACAGAATGGGGTTACTTCCGCCCGGAAGTGAAGAGTAAGCTCGACTATGGCTTTTGAAACTGCGTAAGAAGGAATAGCATCTGTGCTATCTGTTTATAGTCAAATTTTTGCCGAGGTCGGTTTCAAAAGCTGTCTACAGCATCTGTCAATCTCTTTATTCGGGTTTGCTTAACTCAACCCCTCCTTGTGTTTAGATGAGAGTATGTAAACACGGAAAAAGTTCTCCATTGCTAAAAAATAATATAATGAAGCAGAAAGTTTTAATAGCGACATCATCCATGCGTCTGTCCTACAAAATATGATAACCAAAGAGAGAGCCAATCAAAACGCATCGCTTGAGAGACTCCTTCCGTGCTTTTTTCCTTGTAAGTTTGTTTTTGAATTTTCCTCGGGTCAACGGTATTTCTTTACCACAACGTCATCTGTTCTACCTTAGGTCTTCTTCGCTCTACGGAACCCAGCCGCTATCATGCCCTGAGCCAACAACAAGGATTGACTTGAACCCATGACCCTCAGATTAAAAGTCTGATGCTCCACCGACTGAGCTAACCGGGCTGAACTTGACTTAATCACGCCTAGTAAATATTGCGTTAGATTTTTCTCGGAACAACTAGTACCCAGTCTAGATATGGATTTAAAAAAAGGACCCATGAATGGAATCTCTTTACTCCCTTCTCATCGCACAACCGTGCAGCGATGTGTGAGCTGCGAAATTAGTCAGTTTTGTTAGATTTCTGAATTGAAGTTCGACTCATTTATTATGTTTGTCTAACACGCCCATGAAAAGTGAAAAGTAAGAACAGTTATTTTCAAAGGCGGTAAATTCCAATGCTTAAAACCTATCAATCTCGCATAAGATATTTTCGGGCTTACATTGTTTGCTATGTTCATATCCCCAATGCGATCTGTTGTAAATGCGGCTGGATGAAGAAGAGAGCCTTATTTCAATTCACCACAGGTACATTCGTGATAGTGGAAATAATAATTAATAGATAAGTAAATAAGATATAATATCGTGGGGACATTTTAACCGTTAGTTAATCATCGTAGGTAGTATCATGCAGTTAAATCTGAGGTGAATACCAAATCATGAAGCCACATACCATTCACTTCATTCAACCGGCCACGTTAGTGCAGTAGGCAGCGCGTCAGTCTCATAGTCTAATTAGATATCTGAAGGTCCTGAGTTCGATCCTCACACGAGGGATTCATTTTTAAGTACCTAATCTAAGCAACTTTACGGGAGGCAGCGTGACTTTGATAGAAAAAAATACAACCTCTTTACTTGCCTGGCTAGCAAAATGACCAAAATGAAATAATATTAGATATTAAATATTATGTAGGCAGCGCGTCAGTCTCATAATCTAATTAGATATCTGAAGGTCGTGAGTTCGATCCTCACAGGGGGCATTCATTTTTAAGTACCCTATCTAAGTAATTTTACGGGAGGTAGCGTGGCTTTGATAGAAAAAAATCTTGTTTGATTATGAGACTGACGCGCTGCCAACTGCGCTAACGAGGCAATCTTACCAACATCTTTTGATTGGAAAAAGTAGTTTCTCTCTCGAAAACTACGGTCATATTGGCAACGATATTCGTTAATAGAATGGAACAGCAAAAATTCACTTTTTAACTTACTGCCTGTCACGCCTCCTGGTGCATAGGACAGAACGAATTCTCTACATTCCTCTCTATCCTGGGCCTGCGCTTGGATTGTCCCCTGCGTCTGGTGTATGGCCTTAATCTCCTCCTCCTCGACCGTCCGCCGCCAAGTTTGTTTTAGCCGGGTTAGCCTCTCTCTCTCTTTCCCTCTGCTGTTCAATGGATGGCTGTGATGCAATGCTGTCGGGTTCTCTCCGAAGGATACGCCCCACCCATCTCCATCGTCGTTTATTGAAGGTGGTCTTCATATCTTCAAGTTGGCATCGCCCTAGTAGCTTTGGATTGAAATTGGTTCTTAGCCAAAATATAAGGGAGATCCTTCGGAGACATGTCGTGTACAACATTTTAAGATCGGCTTCCGACATTCGCCAGCACTCTCAGCCGTATATAACAAGATTGATAGGACACACCTCATTAAATTCGCAGCTTTGTTTTGTAGTTCTACTGTGCTGACATCCAGTCGTCTTTTATCCGATTAAGGTCCCTCTTACCTTTTTCAGTCGGTTCTGGATATATGTTGCCGTTTGCTCCACCGTCGCTTTCCTATCACACCTCCAAGGTAGGTGAAGGATTCCGTATGGTTGATATCTTGATCATCAATCTTGTTAGATGATGGATTGGACACATTAGGAGTCTGGCCTTTAGTTTTCTTCCGGCTCATCTTGACAGGCACCAAAGAAATGAAAAAGTATCAATGAGGTTTTTTATAGGGTTTTTGATTAATTGACTGAATCTCTTGCTTCCACAAAGCTTCATATCTACACGTAGAGCATCAGACTTTTAATCTGAGGTTTATGGGTTCATGTCCCATATCGGGCGATAACACCGATAATGATATATTTTATTTTATCTGGGGAATTGTTTTCTATCTTTTACTAAAAAATAGCGTACTCTGTCAAATAGAACTTTTTAATGTGCTTCGATAATCTCTGGCATTTTTGCGCCTTTCTGCCCATAGCAGTTTTACGTTTTTTTATGGTTTAACTCTTAATGCAGAGCCCACCATAACGTGCAATCTCAATATACTTTCTGTGTTTCTGATATCTGAAGGTCGTGAGTTCGATCCTCACACGGGGCATTCTTTTTGAAGTACCTATACCGAGCCAATTTTACGGGAGGTAGCGTGGCTTTGATAAAAGCAAATCTTAAAAGTACTTCTTTTACTTGCGTGGCCAGCAAGGACGAAAACGAATATGATTTAATTTATTCTTTATTAAAATATTTTTTTACCCGCTCAATATCTTTTACCATTAAGCTGTGAATTGCACCCAGAAGTGAAGAGTAATCTCAACTCTGGCTCTTTAAAAGAAAATAAGAAAGAATAGCATCTGTGCTACCTGTTCATAGCTAAATTTTTGCCGAGGCCGGTTTCAAGCTGCATCTTGTTCCCTTGTTTTAGATATTGAGCCCTACTTAAATGTTTTTTCTCCTTTTCCTTTGCAGCCCACTTTGCTTTCATATCGCTGTATTTTCTTTCTTCTTCATTAAGTTCTTTAAGAGCTTTCATCGTTTGCCAGATGTTGTAAACAATTTTGGCATCTTTCTGTTTTTCTTCTGAAGAGACATCCTCATGTTCTCTTTGTGGTTCGTGTTGAGCCCGCTGTCTCTCTAGGACAGCTTGGTGGTTCTTGATTGCAAGCCAATCCTCATAAGTCTTGTAATGTGGGTTTAGCCATTTCGCCAACTGATCTATCTCCTCCAGTCTTTTCCGTTCTTTTTCTGTGGTAACTTTCTGGACTAACTCAATTTGTTTTTGCTTTTGTTTGTCCTGAAGCCATACCTCAAAGGATTTTCCACTCCCTTTTGGAGTATTCTTGATTCCGTCACTGTTATTTTCCGCATCTTTACTGTTATTGGCGGTGGCTTTTTTCTCTGCCAACCAGAGTTCGTACGATTTTCCAGAAGTGATTTGTTTGCGCACTTTGTTTCCTGCTCCTGGCGCGTTTTTATCACGTGAATCCGTTTCGCAGGTTATAGCACTCATGGGTCTTCTTCCTAACTTTGTTTCAAGCCAGCGATCAAACGTCAGACCACTAGAACTGATAAATGTGTTTTTGTTTGATGCTGAGGATTCGGAATTTGTGTGGTAGCGCTGCGAACGTTTGCTGTTCAACCACCTCTTAAACGATTCAGGGTCGATACTCTTTCCAAGCCTACTTTTCTGCGCAGGTGCAGTGCCAGGCCTCTTTTTCTCCTGAGATCGTTTCATGTGAAGCCAGTCGTCAAAAGTTCGGGCAGATTTCCTTATTGAATATTCCTGAAGAATGCTATTTTCGTGTTCGGTCTCTTGGTATTCTGCAGAACTACTCACATCCTGTCCACGGGTGGTCGACTCGCTTTTCATTTTTTCACGCGACTCGGTCATCAGAATGTCAAGCTTGCGGATTCCATTCGATCTTCCAGAAGAGGGTCTGAGAAGATAAAAAAAAACAATGGATATGAAGGATAAAATGATAAGGTACACATCATAATTCTTAGCATGCTTTGGCTTATTTTCCAGTGCAACAGTTCAGTTTACGCTATTTATTTCATTCTATTGGACGCTGAGCTGATTGCCTTGTATGTGTCTTTTCTTGTATTTGTCTTAATACTTTGTCGTTTTCTCACCAGAGTGAGTGCATTGTAATTGTGAGTTTTCTGTTTAGGAATAGAGGTTTTTTAGTTTCCATCCATTAAGCATCACACTCTCGCCCTTTAGCCTCACGTCCTTATTTCACTCTCCTCAAAAATAACTTCTTGCAAGTGAATCTCTTAACCAGACCCATAACTGTATGTTCGGCCGTGCGAAGTCTTGAAAAAAAACTTTTCTCGAGAATGCCAAGAAGTATCTTGGGTAAAAGTCCCATAAAGCTGTACGAGGGTGCTCTCGCGCCTGGTATGGATAACACAGACTAGTAAGGCAATCCTGTTTGTATCGCCTAGAACGCTATTACCAAGAGTAATCACTTGGCTTTGCATGTATTTTTGATTACCTCTCGAAGTCGCGTGGTTCAGCCTCCGCTGGAGCGTCACAGTTAATTTCTGTAAAATCATCTTGCTTCTCTTCCGTAGATGAAGCTGTATCAACAGAGTTGAAAACAAACTATGTTAGAATTCCATCGCGCAAAGGGTATGATCAGTGACACACGCTACAGCCAGGGGAAAAATTGTTTGTCAATAGCGTGTGTTAATGTGATTAGCCACTGTCGTCCCTTTGTCTTTGGCTTTATTATTAAATTTCGTTTTGATTTTTAGTATCGATCCGTTGATTAAGTTCAGTCGAACCTTTCGTTTGGTTCAATTCGTTCAATGTTGATGTGAAGCGTAGGTAACTCAGCTCAAGTTATTTTTGTGGCCGCGGCTTTTTGTTGAAAACCGAGACTTAAATAAGTTGCTAGATCAGCTTTCCAAAAAACCTACACGAGAGAACTTACGATAAATATTCTTAACTGTAGGTGAAAATTCTCACAATTCTGGTCATGTCAGAATCATCATCGTGTAATCGTTACATCGTCACCAACAATTATTAAAAGATCTACTAAAGACTCTAAACTTAAACAGTGTGGCTTACCATATTCAAGAGATGTTCTTGCGATAAAAAATAAAAAACAACAACACAAACAAAGAAGCAAACAAACAAAAAACACTACCAGCACTGGTTTCTGTAATCCTTAAGTCTCGGTCTACCGCTGTTTCCAAGTCATCTTTGTTGTTCGCCTCTTTCACAAGGTCCATTTCATCTTTCGAGATGTTCTCTAACTCTGGTGTCTCTGGTTCCGGTGCTTCTTTTTTCACTTCTTCTTCGGATTCTTTTTGCAAATGCACAGGCAAAAGACCACCTCCTTTGCTTAAGTCCCGAAGCTCTTTTCGGTATTTCTCGGCGATTTGCATTAAGGGAAAAGAAGGCTGATTTGTTCGGCGCGGCTCGTGACTCTGCATCCGACGGATGTTCGGCTTTTCTTCGTTAACAGTCACGCTCGGAAGGGTGAGAGTGGGTGACTAGTGGAAAAAAGAAAGTGTTAAGAAGCGGCAAGGAGATTTTTCGATCATGCGTCTACACTGGTCAGGAGGCTTTTAATTAATTGAGAGAATATCCACAGATTACATCCTTGCTTTTTCTCCTGAGATTTTTCATTTCACTATTTCTTTGGTTACATTCTCTCAGAAAAGTTTTGAAGTCTGCCATTAAAAATATATCATCATCACCATAAAGGCCCATTTCTAAAGTGTAAAATTTTTTCTCATATTCCCATTTCCGTATTGAAATAAAAGAAACTGATTGGCTCCTACCATATCTTGTTGTTCCTTGTTGTTGTTTTCATCAAGCTGATCACGTGTTTTTCCATTGGGTGGTGACCTGGTGGAGCGTGGTGAGGATTTCCAATTTCTATTAAAACAAAGGACATCAAAATGACGACTCTAATAGATCCTACGATTTTTTCCATCACACAATTCGAAGCGGGTTCGATTTTCCCATCATACAGTCAATAGCGAACCTCATTTTATACTCGAATTGTTGGAAAGGAAACGCCCAGATAATAGTTTGCAGATTGATAAGGATATGCCGAATAACAAAATCCAAACTGAACGAGATAGGATTAATATTCTAAAAAAAAATTAAGGGAAACGACTAACTTAAAGGGACGTGCAAGGGCCATTGTTTCCTTTGCAAAGGACGGGCAAATGGGGTATGGGCCTATGAGCTTACAGGCCTACTTGAAAACGGGCTCACGGGCCTACGGGCCTACGGGATTACAGGCCCACGGGCCTACGGGCCTACGGGCCTACGGGCCTACGGGCCTACGGGCATACGAGCATACGGACCTAATGATATACGGATCTACGGGCCTACGAGCTTACAGGCTTTCGGGCCTACGAACTCACGGGCCTACGAGCCTACGGGGCCCACGGACCTACGGACCTGTGGGATTACGGATCCACTCGTAATTTCCAATCATTTCGAAGAAAATAAGGATCAATTTGATTTGGAACATTTTAAATCAAACAGAAATTGTTTAAAGGACAGCATCTACTCAAGCAAAGACTTTATTTATAGGTTTTATTCTGTGGGAAGGGCAGCTAAAACACGACACGAAACATTCCGTGAGCCGTAACTGAAATCTTTCGCACAAGAAATGAACGTATCCTGCGAATAAAAAGGCTCACAGTTTCTCACGGTATTATCGCCCATTTTATCTACCAGCCATGCCGTCAGGCTGAATTGTGTGTGGGTAATTATATATGTAGAACCATCGTACTTAAAATGATGACGTCAAATGTTACTCAACATTGACGTCATTTCATCGGTATTACCACATTCATATATGTTACTGACGTCGTATTCTTGTAACGCCGAGACGTTTGATCACAACCAATATCATGCAAACCGTTTCGTTTATAAATTAAACTTGACCTTCTGAAGCTAATCCACCAATCAGTTAGAGCTAATTGCTCAGTATTTGGAAAAAACACAGGTTCTATTTCATTTTACTTTTACGCTTTACTAATTCCTTAATCTTGGAGATAAAAGAGGAGAGGGTTTTCATTTACGTATAAATTATCTAGAAATATCTAATCCCTTTGTAATAAAGTATATTGGCTTGTTACAAAAGCAGTTTTATGGTTTCACTACCTCGCCATTATTTACCCTTTTTCATTAAAGGGATTAGGGGTACAATGGTTTCTAGACTAGAAGAACAATGAATTACATATAGATATTTACGTGGTTGTTGTTTTACAGCGTTCGTGATCAATGTGGATCGAAAGTTAAAATATCCAACACGATATCTATTCCCGCTTAGCGTTTAACTTACAGCAACTTTCTTAGGTAACACTTACCTTCCTGTATTCTCGACTGTTTCATTTGATTCTCCACTCAAGCTTCTCTTGGACTGCGGGCGAAATGTTTGTAGGTTCCACTGATAGAGCCAAAGTCTTCTTTCGCAATAAATATGACCATTCTCGCTCGCTAAGGCCAGAGGCGTTTTGCCCTCAACGTCTGTTTGATTACAAATGGCGCCTTCGCTCAGCAGTAGAGATACGCAGCCTACAAAGCCTTGGTAAGCCGCAACGTGTAACGCGCTTCGTCCAAAAATGGTTTTACCGTTAATATCTGTGGCTCCGCGGTTGATAAGTTCTAATGTAAGACCGAGGTAACCACGGTGGCAGGCGATAAACAAAGCGAGCGTCGCGCGTTGGATAACCAATTTGTTCCAAAGAGATATGTTGTAGCCTTGAAATTTGTCTTCGTCCAGAAATTGAACACCATTCTCAAAAACATCGTAAATATCTCCACGCCAACACGCTTCAAACAGGCCATGGTAGTTCTGTTCAAGTTTGACTCTGACAATACAACCACGTTTAAGGTGGTATGTTTTCAAAGTATCCTGATCGCGTAGTTGTATATTCATAAAAAACAAAGAAAAAATGTTTGCTGGAATGCCAGCTTTTAGCTCGACTCTTGATTTCAGTTGATACACGAACATTTCGCGGGATAATCTCTTGACTGTGCATATGTCACCTGATGGGAGAGCAATAAAGATTTGAAAAGTCTCTTTTGCGCCAGTCATGGTAAACTACCGAAAATTGTTGCGAATTATTCAGTGATCTTTACCGTTCCACACCTGAAAACAAAAATGATACAAAAGATTTTAACACTGCATCGGAAATCGAGTTAATTTCTGAGTCAAGAATCGTGCGGCAAACACAGTAAATTTAACTAACTTGCAGTTAGTTCAGGAGTCCGGAATTTTTAATCTCGAGCTTAACGATCTGGATTACTTAAACATGATAATCTTAAATTCTGAGCAACAAATTCAGTGAAGCAGGGGCATTGACACATCTTTTGTGAGTAGATGACAGGTGTAATTTAAAATTCGGAAAAAAGAGAAAATCTATTTGTATATGATAATGCAGTTTGTAAAGACACCGGATTAGTTGTCTTTCAGAACACTCGCATTAGCAATTCGGGGTACACTTCTGTCAAAAGAACCTTTGACAGCTAATATTGGGCTCACCTTTCACTTTTCAATTGTCGCCTAAAATGAGCTAAGTTAATTTTGTTGGCAAGAGATCATTCTCTGTATAACAAGCATATATTTTAAATTTTGCAATGACCTGAAGAAATCGAATTTTACAAAATTAAATAATGAGATGGGCAAAAAGCCGAGAAGGCTAAATACAATTAATAAAGTAACTTTTAGGGCTGTAACATTTCATATTTGAACACTTTTTCAATTCAGAATTAAGTTGCCAGCTGTGCAAAGTATGTTTCACAGATTTTTAGATCGCTGTGGATACAGTGATGAATAAACGTGATCATCATAATAGCCAAAATGTATAGCTTAAAGATTTAATTCTATGGACATTTTAGTCTCGTTCTTTCTTTTCTATTCAACCACATTTAGTTTCAACGGTACGGCAGTAAAAATGTGTAAGTGCTAACTAAAAATGTGTGAATCAAGAAAAACTATTAGAATAGCCTGCTCCTACTAGCGCTTCGGCATGAGCGTTTCTTCGCCAGCACTCGTTAGTGCCAGATCCTCAACTCGTCTCAAATCTTCACGCGCGCAGATAAAAGCAGCGTCCTTCAGATATAGGCCTACTCGCAAGGACTGGCTGTTCTTACTGACACCTTCAAAGGCTCCTAGTCCTTTTAAAAATAATAACCAGCGGCAGGAAAAATTTGGGAATAAGGGAGTTCAGCAAAGAAACATTTTGACTTTGCTGATCCAAGGAAGATGCCAGACAGCTTGCAATTGTTACTGATGAATTTTTAAGGTCTGCCTCACCAATGGATTCCCTGAGTTCCTCAGTTGATGGAGTATAGGAAAATGGATCGAAACTCGCGGGGTGCTAATCCCCGCTGCGCGCTCAGATTTTCTTTTATTTCACACTCGTGACATTCTTAACATCTTTTTAAGCCAGCTATCATCATTATTTTGTGTTTTTTTTTAAAAAGGTAGATTGAAATTGAAAACCTCCCAAAAAGTAATTCGATTATCCTTTGCACCAAACAGACAAACTGAACGACAAAAGAGTAAACACCTTGGCAAGATACCTCAAACAATGAACGGCACCATAGGCATGTACCTACGTCTTAAATGTCGTCTGTAGAGATCTACAGACGCGAGAGTTATGTGATTCAGACTGTCAAGATTCTAATTTTGGTGGAGAAGAGTCATCGAAAAGCTTGGCAAAGTTTTGACAAAATATCGATAATTCGTGAAGATTTAACTGTTGTCCCAAAATTGCTCGCGCATGAATATAACTTTGAATAGCGGTGCTTAAGTATCTTGTCGATCCTTTATTAAAATGTCTTCTTTTATATATCTATGCCCTTTAAACAGTGAAATATTTAGGTAATGAGAATTGAGAAGTAAGGTTAATGTCATCGAGGATTATTCTTCGAATGTAGCACCATATTCTCAAGACTGGCAAATAGGGAAAGAAAAAATATGATCATCAGCTATACAACGAATTAGTTTGTAAGTCTAGCAAAGTTAAGCCTCAGGTTAAAGCACAAAAGTTCCCTTAATTTCACCCTATACTACAGATTCACTAAAATAATAATTAAATAGGTTGATTGTTTTCTAAGATCTAATACAATTAGCCAAAACAAAACTGCGCTTAAAGCCATTGTGGAACGTGCTTCTGACCACTGCAGTGTTTATTTTCTTTACAGTAAAAGAATTCCTTTGTCGCCAGAATAACAAACGATGCGCAGTGATTTCTGCCAAGGCCACGCAAAGAATTAATTTCATATCATACATAGAAAACTGTGATGAAAAGCGATTCGTGATGAACAAATGTTGGTTCTTCAATTAAAATTGTAGGGCTTTAATCTCAGCAATGCGAGTTTTTTAATGTGGTTGATGACCCGACAGATGCACTGGTAATATACTACATCGTGTAGCGCTTAGATCATACGATAAACCAGCTTAAAATCGCAGTTCTTCCTAAGATCTAAAAGCTCTTTCTCCAAATATACTGAATTCATGGGGGATGAACCCAAACTCATTTAACTTCTAGAACGTACCACTCCAATTGCCATTAATTACGTGCAAAGAAATTTACTAAACTGAAATCGGGTAAAATCTAACCAGCCTCAAGAAACTAGAACCGGCTTTGATTTTCTAGAGCCTTCTACGTTTAGACTAACCTTACTATAAATTGCTTAAAACGTTTTTCCTGAAACTTATTGTACTTTTTCTTGCAAGTAGTCATATATAGGTAACTAAGAATCAACCCAACTCATTAATTTTCCGCTCCAGACAATCCCATTACCTTCATTGTGTTCGATAGAAGGAATCTAAATGATCAGAATTTTATCGGAAATTATGACACAACATACCTTTCGTCTTATGACGCTTGATAACAAACCCAACATTAGTAGCTGTGAGTGATGTTTGAATTACCGCAGTAACACTTTTGTATATTGAAATCGCTTGGTAAACATAACCCCTTTGGTTGACGCAAACCCAATCAAGTGAAGCGTGACGCGAAATAGACATTCACGTCACGCTCTCCAGTTTGTAATAGGTTACCTATCTTCATGAATTTGAACACTAAAAAAGATCACAAGTTGCTCTCTAATATATCATTTTACCGTATGCATGAAACAAGGGGGAAATCAAAACAATGACGCGTCGATGCTTGTTTCCCCCAGTTTCCCTCGCCATAAATCGTTTTCATGTAAAAGGTAAAATCAACGTTGCTCGTCATTCTTTCAAACCGAACATCAGATCTGGCGATGTAAGTCTTGATGCAGACTAGACAGAAAAATGACTATAGTTCGAGAATTAATTAAACCACTTGAGTGTGGGATGGACATTCCCCAAGGACTCAGTCTATCTTGTCCCCTCGTTTTCTCTTCGAGAGAAAGAGTGGTACATTTTCAGGGCCCTTATTTTTCACAAAAAAAACACTCAAAAAGTTTGAACTTGACATTTTGGACCTTTATTGCAGTAGCTTACGTTAAATACAGCTTAGTTTAGTAAGGCCTCTTTAATAATTACTACTCTAATGGGCCTTTAATTTATTGGCAAAGTTAATCAGCCTTGGTCCAATGTCCTTGCCGGTATTCATTCCTGCCACTAAAAAAACAACAATAATTTCAAAATAGAGAAGAAACTTCCGTATTACATACGTTCCCGCCAGTCACTTTGGGGGCCAAAGCTAAACCGCGCCAAAAATCCTTGAGACAGGTTATTTTGCCTGTGGTTGTTGATTCAATATTATAATAAGGAAACTAACATTTATTGAGGGGTGGGAGAGGTTCGGAGTATTCAAGGGGGGAGGGGGTCTTGTTGTTTTTGTGTCAAAACTAAAAAACAAAACCAAGATACCTTTCGGCAACATGTGAAGGCACAATTTAGTTCCATAAATTCGGAAAGGTACAGACAGAGGTACTGGTTCTCAGCCAAAACAGGACAGCAGTCAGCAAAGTCGGGGTTATCGTACTTGTATGCACAGAGATCTGTTTTTTTAAGTGAATAGAAGATGTTTTAGTCGGGGAACAAAAGGTACGTGTGATAGTAGTCCACGCGAGTGATTCGCGTGGTTCACGCAAGGAACTCTTCACATCTTATCGGAGAGTAAGTAGGACAAGATTGAATTGCAGTCCTTCCGATCATTTTAGAGGTGAAAAAAAATCTAGACAAACATAACGACTGCGTGGGTGAATAGAATGACAAACAAGCGTAAGGTAAGAACTGGGATGTATAAGACATACAGAGATTTTTAATAAGTACGAAATAAAACTGATTTTCATCGACAATACGATGTTCATAATGCACTGATAAACTCGGAACTTCAACATTCCCCCCCCCCGGGCAACCCATGGGCATTTGGCTGTCGTCCATGCCCCGGAGGTGGAAAATTTAAACCTTGCCCTGCTGGGGTGGGGTATTTGAACCGGAATACAGGTTTCATATCTTTGAATATGGAGGTGTTTAACCCTTTAACTCCCAGGAGTGACAAAGACCGAATTTCTCATTTCAATATTAATACAATATCAACCAGATGAGTGATGAGAATAAAGAAAAACATCAATTTGGGAATAATTGAGTTGATCCAATACTAAACTCTCTGAACTAACATTATAAGAATTGTATGGTCGACAGTAAGGAAAATTATAAATTTGATCTGGGAGTTAAAGGGTTAAGGTAAATAGTTCACTTTTGCAAGCGAATGGCTCAGAAGAAAAGGTCTACAAGTTTTAAAGCTTGGTCAATGAGTAGAAGGCCACGCTTGCTGATTTGGCCTTTTACAAAAACATTGGGTGGGGCATTTGTACACAGTTGTTACCCTGGGGGTCGGAAATTTGAACAAACCAATTTTCAAAAGTTCAAATGCACGGGAGTTGCCGGAGGGAATGTTATCGATGCATTACAAGGAAAATGTCACTAAAAATGATAATTGTAATGATTAAAGTGATCATAATTATAATAATAATAATGACAGAACACGGCGAAAACCTCTGATTTTTAATCATAAATTTAATTCTAATGGGAGTCAATGTTATTTACCAGTGGTAGGTACACCTGCAAAAATGTAACAGCAAAATAAA